GTTTATTATGTATTATGTTAGATTATGTGTATTATCTTTTAAAAAAGAGTATGTGCATTTTGTTATATAATTATGTACATTCATGTATACAATTATGTGTATTCTAGTATAACATTATGTACATTTTTGAACATGAGATTTTTTTTAAGGAAAATTAACTGTCAAACACTAGGTAGCGAAATTTCAAAAAAAAAAAAATTGAAACTGCGTCATTTTGCATCTGGGTGCACAATGCAACGCGCCCCGTGGTGCAGGATATAAATTGTCAAAATAGGTTAGGTTGAGTTTGGGCTCAAATCTAGGCTCAAAACAAATAATATAAGGATCACGGGTTCGTCTCAGATAGATTTTTGGGTCAAATTTTTAATAAATAAATATTTCTCTTAAATAGGGTTTTTGAATCCATAAATAAATATATAAATACTTTGGTGGTGTTGAATCATTTGAAATAATGAGTTTAAAATATTTTATACACACACCCATTTGGCAAAGTCATCATCGTAGGAGTAGAAATTATACAAATAATTTTATTTTGAGATTTAATAGAATATGAGTTTTGTGGAAAAGTATTTTGGGGTGTCACAACCTGTGTCAATGATCCATTCATTTGAAAAATTAAAAATAGAAGTTAGAGCAATAGACTTACCAACAAGGTTTGCTTTAGGCTCTTTTACCTTTCGTAAAATTCGAAGTAATTGTTGAATGGAATCGGAAGAGATCTTTGACAAAGTTATGGTGCCACCATAGGGTGGCTATTTGTATTGCCTTTTTTCTAAAATGTGTGCCCAAGGGATATCCATGCAACTTGTAACAAAACTGTTGTGTATGGCTAGGGATCTCATAGTGTGCACACTTTGTCCGAGATCGATTGTTGTTGGAAAGAGTAGTGGAAGCAGTTGTATGGACATTGCTTGCAAATGATAGGTTGGCAGTAGCAACACACTGTGGATGTTGTGTGTTTGTAGCTTGAAGAGCAGAATGTTTTGTAGAATGTCCATCGCTGCTACTTTGTACACGTTCGGATTCATCGTGTAGCATTAAGTTGTATACATTTTTCACAGTGGGAAGAGTTTCGTTGAGCAGTAATTGGCTCCGTGGTTGAGCCAAAGTCTCCCGAAGGCCCATGAGTAACTGCATCAACCGGTGTCGTTCGATTTGCGCAATGTAGGCATGTTGAGCAGAGCATGAACATTTAGGGGGAGGATCTAACATATTTAATTCATCCCACTCAACTGATTGTGGTAATCTGCGATGGATGCATCATTTTGGTAACAAGTTGCAACGCGTTTCTCAATATCATAGATACGATGTCCATTTGATGTAAAGAAACGATCTTTTAAATCTGTCCAAACTGAGGAACCAACTAGGCATATAAAACTGTCTGAGAAAGGGATGGATGGATGGATGGATGGAATTAAGGAGCTAGGACATCACCATATTGTTTACTCAATTCCAACGGGCATGATCAGGATGGGTATAATCTGGCATGGGAAAGGAGTCATCAACAAAACATAATTTATTGCGGCCTTTCAACGCCATCGTGATTGCCCAAACCCATGGATAGTAGTTTTCAATGCCGGTAAGAATGTTGCCAACGAGAGTGGTGCCTATACCATCAGAAGAATAGAGATAATAAGGACTCTTGGCATCAAAAGGAACAACATGGTGCTGTGATTGTTTGGTAGAAGTTGAGTCATCATGAGTAAATGGTGATGATGGGATTTGTGTGTTGATTTGAAGAATCTGTTGGTGAAGAGGTGGCCATTGGCGTAAGGTGATATGACCAAAAGAGAGATTGCAGTAGAAAGATAAATTATCAGGGAAAGGAAAAAAAAAATTCTACTGATACTGATACCATGTAAGGAGTTGAGAATATAAACTGCAAAGCATTGTTACAGAGACAGAGAAGGAAAAGATATATTGCATATATGAATTGTGAATTAAAGGAGAATACATTGTGTATATATATACAACTATGCTAATAGTAAAGAAAGGTGAAAAAAGTAAGATCATCTAAGAATTTACCGAAATAATGATCTTAAGAATATGGAAATAATTATGAATACATATATACAAAACTCTAGAAAATATTAATACAGATATTATTCTTCTTAACTTAAAAATCTCACTTTTAGTATGCTCCATTTTGGAAGACTTAAGGTTCTTAAATGCAATTGATGTTGCATAATTGAACAATTTTGAGCAAATATCAAGGAGTCAATTTTGGTCCCACAGTATTAGCAAAATGATAGTTTTATTCCACATATTTAATTTGGCAATTTATATCAAGGACTAGGATCCACATAGTATTATGGACCTTGGATCGAAACGATGAGGTACAAAATTTATAGATTAAATACTAGCCAAGGTCCCTCGAGTTTGGTGGTTTCACCACCTTTAGTCCCTAACTTCCGTAATTACCATCTGTGTTCCTCCGAGTTACGAAATGTGACCTGCTACCGTCCTTCCGTTACTTCATTCCGTTTCAACTGTCAAAATCGTGGATATATTTGTCTTTTCACTCATTTGTTTCAATTGTCTCTGTTCCGAGCTTGAAACTCTAGGATCCGATTTTCGGCATTGTGACGATGCCGACGCGGAAGAGGCTTCAAAGGGTGGAATTGCGGGCGTAGTTATTAGCGTGTGGAACCTTCGAGAATCGAAGATGCGGCGTCGGGCTGGGCTGAGAGTATTGGAACTAGTTCCGGATTTTACGGTGCGGGGTGGTAGTCGATGACTGGTGGCTTCTCGAGCTGCTACTTTTGGTGCTCGCGGTGGTGTACCCGGCGAATAGCACCGGTCAATGGAATTGCAGCAGATTCCGGTGGCACCGCATCGCACATCTCCGATTCCTTCAACGACCCACCCCACAAGCAGAAATCAAACTCCTCTTCCCCGTCGCCGACGCTTGTCGGAGATTCTTTCTTGAACTGATTCTCCTGTTTGTTGGAAAATCACACAGCGATATCTTTGTCGTCTCCGTTTTCCTGTTCTTTCTCCGCCCCTTTGTAATTCCACATAAATCTTCTTCAAATCCTCCTTTCTTGTTCAACCAATGCGAATCAAATTGGGATCGGAACAAATTAAATACAAGATTACAAATAGTCTTCTACCTTCTTTCTTGAATTGATTGTGCGTATGGTTGAAATTTAGCGGAGCTTAGCTTTTAGCACAGTGTGGAGGAGCTCTATATCTTTTGTTCCTGCAAAATCATTATATTGTGAAGATTATTGTTTTGATTATGCAATTCTGATTTTTACATTTGAGTTTGATGCAAATAATTATGGTCGGCCAGGGTTAATCCTTATCCTGCCTTTCTTCAGTACCAAACCTCGAAGTCTAACCGCCATGATTTTCACGTTAGTTCATCATATGTCCACACACACCTGCTTCTACAGTTCTACTTCGATACTTTCTTCCCCTCTCTCTACATAGTCTTTAGAAATACTCGCAGCTTCAGCAAAAGTGTTAGCTTTATCTGTTCGCAGTTATGGCATATGGATCGCCAGCTCCAGCCAACAATTCGGTTTCCAAAGGGTTTGACTTCTCCGCCTCCGATTATATTCTTTCTCCTACGAATTGAAGACTACTCCAATCACGCGAGTTCTAATGGCACCCTCCACTCCGATCCTGTGGTTGCGTCCACTTCCGCGAAGGTATTCTTTTTCTCATGGTGTTATCTGGTATTTGATTCTTGCGGTTTTAGCTAGGGCTTTGGTGATTACTGGTGAAAGTTGGAGTCTTTACTGTTCAACTTTGTTGTAAATTGATGAATCTGAAAGTTTTGGAATATGCCTTACAAAAAAAAAAAAAAAAAGTTTTGGAAGGGGTTTAAGTTTTAATGTTTTGTTACTTGGCAAATGACAAATGTACCCACGATTTTGACGGTTGAAACGGAATGAAGTAACGGAAGGACGGTAGCAGGTCACATTTCGTAACTCGGAGGACCACAGATGGTAATTACGGAAGTTAGGGACTAAAAGTGGTGAAATCACTAAACTCAATGGACCTTGGCTGATATTTACTCAAATTTATACTCGTAAGGTATAAAATTTCATAACACAAGACAAAAAATCACAACATTTAAGACACATACACATGTTATATATTTACTTATTTTTCAAATATGATTTAGATACATAATTTGTCATCATAGACACAAAATTTCACAACACAAGATACATAAATTCATAACATAAAATACAATTACTAATTTGCTTCAGGTACAGAATTCATACTCTTAAAATACATAATTTCATTGCACAAGACACAAAAACTCACAACATAAGACATATACACATGGACCATTGTCCCTATGAACCCTAGGCCATGCTATAAGGATTGGTTTAATTCCTACCAATTTCCATTCACGACTATTATTTTAGTGTCAAAATTCATCACATCAATCACCCCTCCACTTATGACATGCCAAAATATAAAATTATAGAGTACTTTTGTCCTTTCATAATTAAGATCCCAATTTGAACATGAATAAAGGGATTTAAGCTCTAAGATCCCAATTTGCCGTTCTCCCCCTCGTCCTTCTTCTCCTTCTTATTTATTTAAGAAGGATGACGAGGAGAATGATGAATTGGGATCATAGGGCTTAAATATCTTTATTCATGTTCAAATTAAAATATTAATTATGAAAGGACAAAAACACCCTTATAATTTCATATTCTTACCCCAAAAGGCTGAATCCCCAACCCTAAGGGCCCCCACACTTTGACCCGACAGAGCATGTGGGAGGATGTAAATCACAGTGACTCAATGGGTTAGTAGATAGGGCCAAATGCCGGGAATTGATGGGTGGATGGCGTGATGAATTTCGACAATAAAATAATAGTCGTGAATGAAAAATTGATAGGAATTAAACATGTGGACCAAAATTGTCATTTTGCTAATACTCTTGGGATCAAAATTGGTATTTGCCCCTCATACAATTTTTGTAGGCATGAATACTTTTTAGTTAATTCTATGTTCTTCTGCTACTGCTATGCTGCTTTTTTATTACTCATTTTATAATTTTTCATGTAAGCAGAATACAAGAACTATGCATAAAAAAAGGGCCAGAGTTTTGATAGACAAATCTCCAAATCTGAAAACCAATTTCAAAACTCTTCCATACTATATATACAAAAGAAGAAAATGGAAAATGGGAAAGATACTACTATAAAGCAGCAAAAAGACTGAGCTGAAGTTCTTGAATTCAGCTACAGACAGGTATATATGTATGAAATTCCCATCCAGTTCCATTTCACCTTGCATTAAGGAGCATCCTCAACACACTCTTCATCTTCGGCCTTCCCTCGGGCGAGACGCTAACACAAGCCAGAGCAACCTTCATGACAGATAACATCTGCCTCCTAACAGCTACAGATGTTTTGCTCACACCAAAATCAAGAATGTGATCCCATTTGTTTTGCTGAGCCGAGTTGCTTAGTACCCACTTTGCTAACTCCGTTCCCTGACTCACAGCCGCCTTCCCCGTCAGCAATTCCAACAGAACGACCCCGAAACTGTACACATTCCCAGCCACCGTAACCCTCATCGTGTAAGCATACTCTGCAACACACAATACCAACCAACATTTTCTTTTAGTTTCCACAAATTGTATAGAATTTTGCAAGAAAAGACCATTTTTTGGGGGGTTATCATACCTGGAGGGATGTAACCCACAGATCCAGCAACAGTGGAAAGATTGCCTGTGCTCTTCGAAGGGTCAATCAGCTTGCAAAGCTCGATATCTCCAAGCTGGGGCTCGTTCAAGGACTTGAGCATAATGCTTTTGCTGGAGAGGTCGAGGAGGAGGATTGGACTGGAGTTGATGCTGTGCAGGAAAGCCAAACCCTGAGCCACTCCGATTGCTATGCTGTAACGGCTTGCCCAATCCAGGGTAGTCTCGGCACTACCATGAAGAACATCATAAAGGGTTCCAGCAGGAGCAAAGTCATAAAAAAGATAGGCACTATCAGCAGCCAAGACATAGGCTAAAGGGATCATGACGTTCGAGTTACTTAGCTTCCCGAGATGCTCGAGCTCTCCCCCGAACCTTTCATGGTTCCCTAATTGGAATATTTTATCACTCCAGTTAAGCCTCTTGACAAAATAGCTCCCACCCGAGGGCATGACTGCTTTATAATACGTCGAGAACCTTGTCTTCAAGATAACGTTTGAGCTTTCGCCCACTGCTTCCATGGCCTTCTTGAAGTCAATACTGGATCTGTGGATGCCATTTGCTGTCAACAGATTTCCTTGGATTACTTGCTGCTGAGAAACATCATCTCTAGAGTGCAAGTGCTCATCATCGACCCTATAAAATCGTTTCGAGATTGATAAAGCTATGCAAGTAAACAGCCCAACAGCAACAGCAGCAACTGCAACTGCTATAACAATCACGACAGCCACTGATAATTTCTTCTTCCCTGATACAGCTCGAGCGTTCTGAGGAGGAGAAGGCGGGGGAGGAAAAATCAGCTGGCGGTTTCCTTCTAGACCAAGCTCCACGTACTTTGGAAATGCGGGAACAACACCAGAAAGGTGATTGTTTGCCAGTATTAGACGTGTCAAGCCGCTCATCCGTGTCATTGATTCTGGAATCTGACCCGAAAACGTGTTATTAGAAAGGTCTAAAACCTCCAATGCAGTGAGCCTAGTGAGAGTGGTTGGAATCGGTCCGGTGAAGAGATTGTGACTGAGGTTTAGTGCGATTTGCAACTGCATTGGCATTTCTGGAATTAACCCACTAAGATGGTTGTTTCCTAGTTGGAGTTCCAACAGAAGGTTTAAGTTACCAATCGAATTTGGTATTGAACCATTGAGACCATTCTCTCTCAAGTCCAAGTTTGTAAGGGTATGCAAGGTAGATATTGAATCTGGTATTATACCAGTAAGGGAATTCCAGCTCATATTAAGCCTCTGCAATTTGTTAACCTTGGAGATGCTATCAGGGATCCCTCCAACAAAACCGTTCATTTCGAGCTTCAGAACCTGAAGATTGATAAGGCTCCCTATCTCTGCAGGCAAAGGACCAACCAGATTATTGTGGGCAAGATTCAAAAGAGCCAAATTTTTGCAGGAAAGCAGCTCCAGAGGTATGCTTCCATTCAATTGATTGTTTTCCAACTCCAAGTAGGTCAGATTCTGAAGGCTTTGAAAGGGTATAGGTGGGATAGGCCTAGATAGACTATTGCTTCCCAATCTTAGCCTAACAAGAGTTGATCCCATATTTGCAGGTATTGAACCTTCCAGCCTATTGTTAGACAAATCCACATACTGCAAATTTGATGGAGATAAGAGGCCCCAAGGGATCGTTCCACTCAAATTATTATAACTAAGGTCTAAATTATTGAGGTAGGTAGTAATACCAGCTGGAACATTTCCAACAAAACCATTCTGATTCGCGGCGAATCGCGACAAGGTTGTGATATTCCCAAGAGTTTTTGGAATGGTACCACTCAACCTATTAGCTGACAGGATCAGAATTTTCAAGCTAGAGAGATTTCCCAAGCTTTCAGGGATTGAGCCAGAGAGGTGATTAAGACTAAGGTCAATCAAACTCAAATTCTTATATTTCACAATCTGAGAAGGGATTTCACCATCAAAGCTATTATCAGAGAGCTGAAGCTCCACCAAAGCATTGGATTTTCCCAGACTGGTTGGAATATGCCCACCAAATTTATTGAAGCTGAGGTCCAAATTCTTGAGTGAACTCAAGCTATCCAATTGGAGATCAATATTCCCAGATAGAGAATTCACAGACAGGTCCAGGGACTCTAACACACCAAACCCACTAAAGATAGGCAAAGGGCCCTCCAACGAATTGCTACTAAAATTCAACACTTTCAACCCACTAATCCCCCCACAACCAGTGATGAACCCACCCGGAATGGAGCTCAACTGGTTGCCAGACACATCAAGAGACTCGAGACTTTTGATCCCGCAAAGAAGGGGCAGAGTATCAGAATTAGAAATGAAAAACAAATGAAGGGTAATATTGGTTATGGAAGAATTATTTGGAGAGCAAGAAACTCCCTTCCATGAACATGGGTCCGAACCTCTGTTCGTCCCATTCCATGCAAAAGAAGTACCCGTATTGTCGTGAATCATATCATAGAGGCTAACCATGATGTTTTTCTGATCCTGAGGCAGCTCAGAATACACAGTTGGGAGGAAGAAACAGAAGCACAAGGAAGAAAAGATTGTAGAGATTATGTGGGCATACCTTCTAGCCATGTTGGCTGGCTATGGGCTATGGCTATGGGAGTTGATTACTTTCCAAGCAAAACCAAAAGCCCTCAGTATTGGTGATTTCAGGATAAAAGGTGATATGTGTATGACATATTTGCTTTGGGAATTGCGATATACAGAGGAAGTGAGGTAGGGAGAATGGAATGTTGGAATTGAGAAATGAGGCAAAGAGAAATATTGGAAAAAAAAACGCGTTGGAAGGGAGAGGGGGTGGGGAAAGGTTGACTGGACTTCAGTTGTTCCTATGTGTGGAACAGCCCGGTAAACGGAAGACTCGACTTTGGGAAATTCACTTGTTAGTCCCTTTTGGCACGCATACACTCCTTTTAGGTATATTCGATAAAATTTATTTTAGAGTTTATAACCCTGTTTGGTAGAAAGTTTAAGATAATATGGAGTAGCTTATTTTAAAACGTAATGTTCAAAAAGAACTCTTGACTTTTTAATTATTATTTTTTTTACTTTTATTTACAAAAATAACACTATTTATCCTTCGTTAATCAAAATCATCATATCTTAGTTTATCTTTTATGCCATTTTACACTTATAAGCTAATTCAACAATTAATTATACCAAACATTTTAATTTCAATTACTTAGCTTATTAGCTACTAGCATTTCAGTTAATTTTTTAGCTAGGCGTGCCAAATAGAGCCAATGATACGTTTTAAAAATTTTGACTTCAAATGGCATTTAAAGTTGTTGTTTTGTGGTTTAGTGGAATTCACATTTGATTTGGATTGGGTTAAAGTAAATTTGAGTTCTCTTAAATAAGAGGTTTAATTTGACATATTATACTTTCAAAATAGATAATTGGTGAATAAGAAATTAATTATCAAATCATACATTTTTGTGTTGAAAAAAATTGGATTGGATAGGGCAAATGGGGAGTTATGAAATTAATTTTAAATACATTGTATTGGGCAAAATGTTTTGTACAATTTTAGTATCACCAAGAATGTTAGAGAAATGGAGTGTTGATGATAGGGAAGTGATGAAACAGGATCTTCAGGCGTGTGATCACTTTCTTATAAGCTTTAAATCTCCCTTATATAAAGCAACAAGGTTCAAGATTTAATCTTATGGGATACAAGAAGATGATGAAGTTCTTAAGTTGCTTTGTTTAAGAACTTCCTGTTGAAATGCAGTGTTGTGAAATATTTCAGTTTAATGCAAGTTTATTGCAGGTATCTTTTCAGACATTTCTCCAAATATTTATAGATGCATACAAAGCAGTTTGGAGAAATTACCTGGAAGTTAATTATTCAAATTTAAAACTTAACTTCCATAAGATATATCTTATCTGATATATCAAACATGGGAAAATAATTGAACCATATATATTTCCATAAGATATGAACCTTCATACATTCATGTACTGCATACAAAATAACAAAGTAAAATATATACATTTATTATACATTGCATGTTAACATGCAAAGTAAATTAACATAATATATATATATATATATATATATATATATATATATATAATTAACATAATATATATATATATATATATATATATATATATATATTAACATTGATATTGACATGCATGCATCACATATTAAACCAACATTGATATTCACTTTCGTTATCTTCACTTGGCCGAAAGATGCCAAATTGCCGAAACTTCATATAGCCGAAAGTGAAATCTAGAGGTTTCATTTGGTCGAATACAATGCATGCTTTACACTAATCTAAAGTTTCGTGTATCCAACAAAGAGAACGAAAGAACATCTACTCGTTAAGCAATGCAATTATCAAACCCGAATCAATTTGAGAACTTTCGGTTTCAACCATACGAAAACATATTTCCCATTTTACTTTAATTTCTACCAAACTAAAATAATATTTATAACTCCAAACTCCAAATATTATTTAAGCTTTTCATGGTAATACATCTGAAACTTTAATTTCCATTACTATATAAATTTCCAACAAAGAACACAAATTTTCTCTCCCTTAAAACTCTCTTTTCTTATTGTTCTCTGACCACACTTCTGATTTTAATCTCGAAGTATTCACTTTGTTCAAGTTTGTAGAAAACAATATATTTGGGTGTTTAAATATATTGTTCTCTTCAAAAAAAATATATTGGTGTAATCTATTGTATCCCGGGGAATTGATAATTCAAATCTCTTATCACATTTGGGAAGGAGCAAATTGGTTTTAAAAAAATTATGGGGTCGTTTACTAATTGGAAATTTTCTCCAGTTTTCTAGAACACTGAAAAATTGGAGAACAGAAAACAAAGAACATGTTTACCAGCACAATTTTTCATTTTGAAAAAAGGATACAATTTTTCCAGTATTCAACTATTAAAACTTGTTTTTTAAATGGAAAACTGAATCATTTATTTGGCTATATGTCACTATAACCACATTCTCACCATTATCTAGCTACTTCCATATTTATTCATTACTATTATTACATTTATTATCATTTTCTTTTACTTATCATCATCTTCTATCGTTTCTACTTGCATTACTTATTTAAACATAACTTATTTACTTATACTTAAAGTTCGACATTATTCACAGTACCAAAATTAAAAATTGATCTCTATACCAATTCAGTTTTATATTTTGATTGAACTTAATTGATTATTGGTTCGTATATGTTTAGTTATGTTATATCGTAATACAATGTTGGTCCAGATATCGGATATTGAAATTTCACATATATTATTATATTAGAATTAAAAGTAAAAATTATATATTTATATACATGTCACTCAAATGAATACATCCAAAATTATTTTAAATATTAGCTTAAAAATATTAATATTATCTAAACTAAATTTTACGTGAACTGTACTTAATAGGTTATTGGTTCGTATATATTTTTAGTTATGTTATATATCGATATATATTTGATTCAGATATCAAAGGTAAAAAACTTACATATATTGGATTTAAAAGTAAAAATTATATGTATTCTATTTAAACCAAATATATTTTAAAATATTTTAAATATAAAGTTTAAAAATCACTCAAAATTAAATTTGTGTTAATTTTATAGCGTTAATCTAACAAAAATTGAAAAAATAAGTGTTAGTAAGTTTTTTTTTAAACAGAAAACAGAAAATGAAAAACAGAGAGCAAATATTGAAAAATTAGAAACAGAAAACAGTTTCGAGTTAGTAAACGTGCCCTATGTTTTGCACATTTTGAATTTTCCGTTGACTTTTAATTTGAACTGAACTTTTTCAAATTTTTTTTATTAATTGTGGAAATTTCCAACAATAGATCATGGTAGGTACATTAAAAAATAAAAATAAAAAATCATCTGATCCAGGAACGAATTCAGAAATCTTCTTTAGTGGGGGTAAAAAAATTAAAACTAACGAGATATTTTCAAAAGAATGAAACACTTAGAAATATTTTTAATTAATTAATTATTTATTTATTATTTTAATTCATATTTACCACCCAACAAAGTGAATTCTTCTATTTTGATTATCATTACAAAATATTTAATTTTAATTATCATTCTGATTTCAATGTTTGAACTAAACGCCCCTTAAGTTTGAAATCTTTTACCCCGGCCTCTACGTTTTGAAGGTTGAATTGAACAACAGCTCCCTTTTCATATATGCACAATATAAGAATAATGGTAGGTAGTAAACTTAGAGCAATTAATGAAGGAATATATATAACTTTTTGTGTAATACACATGCTTAAATAATTAATATGTGTTTGATTACTTTTCATAAGTGTGTTTTTTTTTTTTTTTTTTTTTTTTTTTTTTTTTTTTTTTTTGGCATCTTCCGCATGTTTGCATTGAGAAAGTTACTAGAATATAATTATATAAGTATAATTATAGGTAAAAAAAAATGTTAAAATACGACTATTTATTTTTATTGTATTCTAATTTTTGGTTAAAATAAAAATATCATTCAATGTCATATGTACAATTTTATACCAAAAAAACAAAAAAAATAAGCTCAATATAACAGCCATTTAGATTGATTTCTTTATATTGTTGTTAGTCCTAATTCGCTGTTTCATTATTATTATTTTATTTTTAAATTTAGTCATCTGATCAATTAATAAATTTGTTTAGAAGGTTTCAATTATGAGAAGAAAAGTGTAAAATCTAATATTTTGTACTTTTTAACTATGAGGGGGTGTTTGGTTCAGGTCATCTTAGATTACCTAGGTAATCTGAGTCTGGTAATGTTATATTACCTTGTTTGGTTCAAGTTATGAGATTACCAGGTAATGTTATATTATATCAAAGCTGATGTGGCGGTAATGTTTCAAGGTAATGTGATTACCCCCATTTTTTTAGGTAATCTTAGATTACCTTGAATTATTCCAACTTTGCCCTAGTTAACTAATCCTTATATAATAATAATAATAATAATAATAATAATAATAATAATAATAATAATAATAATAATAATAATAATAATAATAATATATGTTTATATAATCAAATATACATATGTGTATATTTATATATTTAGTTTTTTTAATGTTTAAGCTTTGATATACATTCATAGATATAAATAAATACACACATAATATATATATATATATATATATATATATATATATATATATATATATATATATATATATATATTATTGAGGGCATTATTGTAAATTGATCCATATAATCTAAAATATAACCATGAACCAAACAAGGTAATATTATATTACACCATCCAAACCAAACACACAAGGTAATCTTACATTTCCAAAATCTCACATTACCTTCTCGGAGGTAATCCTATTACCTGGGGTAATCCAAGATTCCGTGAACCAAACGCCCCCTGATGGACAAGTATATTTACCCTCATTAAATGAGACCCAAAAAATAGAGAGTAACTATCATTTATTAGTTTTAAGTAAGGACTAAGTTGGCAATTATGACGTGGCTCGTGGAAATTAAGTTTTATGTTTGACTGGACAGTTGCGACTTGCGTGACATGGAGGTTAAGGTTTTCCAAGTTGCGGGTCCCACGATTTGACTAGGAAAAATGACCGGCGTGTGCGAACAACAAAAAAAGTCAGTCTCATATTATAATTTCATTTTCATAATAAAATATGATATATGTTTTTATCTACATACGGACTAAAGGGGAGTGTGCAAGACGGCAAAGACTTGGACACTTGGTGGACCTTTCTCCATTTGTAAATGTGGGTTCTTTGAAACATTCAACTCTATTTGATATATCTATTTAAAAAGTGAAATTAAAGATAGAAAATCAAAAATTGAAAGCACAAAATTGTTAAGTTATTTAGGTGATTGGAGTTTTTTATTTTTTTTAATGCTACTTATTCTATTACATTGTAGTATCTGTTTAAACATATTTTCTGTTTAAACATACTTTCTTACGGAGCCAACAACGCCTCCACTGAGACTCAATCTCATGACCTCCCACATGGAAGATGTCACTACATGTCATCTGAGCACAAAGTGCTTGGCAGGTAATTGGATTTTAAAATATTTTATAAAATTAATTGGTGAATAAATTAACATACCTAAAAAGATACAACATTTTATTTGTGTGTTGAAATCACACTTTTTATTAATTAGTTACAAAATTTTGTTTATTTTGTTTTAAAAGAAAAACGAGCATATATTAATTTAAAAACTTCATAATAGAGTCAGGCAGGACAATATCCCATTATAAAGAGTAATCCTGTCGAGAGATATGACAAGATTTTGCTAAAGTGTGAGTAAAAACATAAGATGTTCTAGGGACGAAAAAAAGCGAACAAAAATCAAAAGACCATCAAATTTTTGCAGTCCATAGTTGCAAAACCAATATAAGAATAAATCGGATCGGTGGTAAGAATATTACTCCGCATAACAGCACAATCCGTGTGTATCGCCACCGATCTATTTTATATTTTATCTTGATATGCTAGATAAAAACTAAGGGTGTGCTTGGTTGGTGGGTTTTGCCCATAGAAATGGGTATGAAAGTGATTGTTGTTGTTTGGTTGATAGGTTTTTATAAAACTACTATGGGTTTCGAATACTCCATCAATTGAAAAACTCATACCCAAATAAAATAAGGGTTTCATTCCCTTATTCATTAACAAGCACTATTATTAGTAATCATTCTCATTCCACCCTACTACCAAACATGTTAAATACTTTCACCAAAACCCATTACCATTACCAAGTATTTGATACCCATTCCGATTCCGATTCCTATGTGCGAACCAAACACACCCTAAGTTTAATGTTTTAGATAGCAAAGAAAAAAAACATTGTATTTATAACGCGTTTAGCAATTAAAGGACAATATTTGTAAAAGTTGAAAGAGAGATACTTTTGTAATTTGGAAACAACTGAGATATCAAAAGTGTAACCCACATTTACAACTGAGTTTCTCTATTTATAGATTTATTGGAATAAGGTTCAAATTGGCCACTAAATGTAACCTAAAAATGCAATTAGGTCACTGAACAAAAAAAGAAGAAAAAAAAATGCAATTAGGCCACTAAACAACTCAAATGTATACAATTTCACCTGATGGCACCATCCATTTCATTAGGCTGCCTGGTTACGTGGAAGGTAAGTTGACATTTTAAATAATTTTTAATAATAAACTTTAAAAATAAAATAAAAAAAGTCAGGTGGTCGCCAACCACCCCCTTCTCCCCTCCTCCTTCGTTTTTAGCCACGAATGAGGGTGGAAGAGGGTGGCGGGAGACGAAGGACCTGTCTCACGCCACCCCCTTCCTCCCTTCTTTAGTCTCCGTTGGAGATGAAGGACATGTCTTCGTCTAGGTCGGAGACAAAGACATGGTCTTCGTCTCCGGTTGGAGACGAAGGAAGAGGGGGGGGGGGGGGGGGGGGCGGCGGCTACCCCAACGGTTTTTTTATTTTTATTTTTATTTTTTATTTTTAAAGTTTATTATTAAACATTATTTAAAAATACCAACTCACCATCCACGTAAGCATGCAACCTGATGAAATGGATGGTAACCTGTTATTTGGTGAAATTGCATACATTTGTGGTGCTCAGTGACCTAATTGTATTTTTTTTCTGTTCAGTCGCCTAATTGCACTTTCAGGTTACGTTTAGTGGCTAATTTAGACCTTATTCATAGATTATTTAAAAGAAAAAAAAAACTAGTATGTGGTGATGTCAAGTGTACCAGCCACCAGTAGGGGTGACCACGGTTTCGTTCGAACCGGACGGTTCGAACCTAACCATGCACTGTGCTAATCGAATCGGAACCGAAATCGTCCGTACAGTTCCGATTCTGATTCCTAAGGGCATCCTCAATAGTTGGGGATTTTACCCCAGATTTTTGTGGGCCCCAACGCCCACCTCATCTTCCACTATCTCACTCAATCACAAAATTTCTTCTTCCCATTAGTTGTAAGTTTTTTCACAACTTTTTGTGGACCCACCATTTTACTTTATATATTTTAATTATTTCTTTATCTATAATTATTTTTAAAATTATAATTATAAATTTAATAACATTATAAAAATTATAATTAATTTTTTTCTCATTATATTTAAAATAAGTTGAAAATTATAAATGTTTACAATTTTTTTAAATATAATTTTATTACTTGAAATTTTAATAACAAAATTCAACAAAAAAAAAAACTTAAAAAAATAAATAAACTGGCCAACTTAAAAAAAAAAACAGAATATATATGTTGGCCAACTTAAATTTCGCAAGCTTCATTCGAGAAAACAGAATATGTATGTATGTTGGCCCAAGCTTCCGTGAACTGCGCTGACAACCATTTTCTTTTTTCTTCCTTTTCTCCTGAAAATCTCAAGTTTTGCAGGAAAAAGAACTTCTTAAAATTTTGGTATCCCATTAGCTTAAAACTTTGCTCCTAGTTTTTTACTATTCCAAAATCCATCCAAAACATGCTATTGGGGATGCCCTAACCGGAACCAATAAAGTTCCGATTAAGGTTTGTAATATTCTGGAACCGGAACCGGAACCAAACGATTCCGGTTCGAAACTGAACGATTTCGGTTCCAGAACCAAAAAAAAAAACACATTTGAAGTTGAAATTTGAAAAGCTAAAGCCGTGCGACTTTGAATTTTCAAAATTCTAAACCAGCAAGCGCCAGTGGCCTACTGGCCAATAGCATGACCATTGACCAAAAACTAAAAATCATAATTTATTTATTTATTTATTTTTTATTCTTTTATAAATCCAGTTAGAACCTGAAACTTTAATTGAAGATTCTGATTCCAGTTTGGTCATTCGAGGAACCGAAACCAAACCGGAATTACAACCTTGGTCACCTAGCCACCAGGTCGAGAGCCCTACATGGGCTAGTACTAATGTGGGTCGTCTTTGCCTAACTCAAATTTTAAAAATGCTGATTTGGCAGCTCGCCACACTTTCATCTATTAAAGTACTTAAATTAATAATTCAAAATTTGTTACAGTCTCTAAATTATAAGTTTTTTTTGAATTATAATTATAATTATTTAATTTTATTCTATATTTGTATAACTGTTTTTTTTTTTTTTTTTAAACCAAAAACTTCATAATTTCATTAACTTAACTTAGAAGGAATATAAGGAGGGAGGGATTCCGTCCAGACAGAACGTGTATGAACCGCTCCTACATGTTTTGCTAAAGCATGAGCAACCAAGTTGGTGCCTCTACGTACAAACTGAATGGAACAAGTAGCGAAAGAATTAAACAAACGTAGACATGAATCTAAAATAATGCCAAGATACGACCGATAAGAACTGACGTCCCGAAAACTGTCAACGAGTACCGCACAGTCCGTCAAAATAACAATGTTCTGAAAATTGTGATCTTGTAGCCATGATAGAGCCTCACGTATCGCCATAGCCTCGGCTAATAGGGGATCATACGGGTAAGAGAGGGGGCCATTTACTGCTGCTACAAAAGCTCCTCCCGGGTTACGCACATAGAAACCAAACGTTGGGGCATGTTGCGATCCGTAGAAACCGGCATCCGTGCTGCAAAGGACCGCATCGTGCGGTAACGGCGCGGTAGCAGGGGTGTTCGTATGTTGCTGCATGGCGGGGTGTGGTGACATCATTTCGGCCGGCTTGCCGTGAGCAGTCCAAGCAGCCCAGGTACGTTGAAACGCAGCGCAGAGATGAATAGGAGATGGCAAAACGAGATCCCAAACTGCCTTGTTTCGAGCTCTCCATATCTCGTAGAGTATTCCACAAATCTGATCTTTTAGAAAACCTGCAGATGTTGCTGAGTTTCCCAACCAAAGCTCCACCCACTACATGAAACCATGATGACCAAAGTTAGGGATTTGGAGTTGTGAAATATTCCACACACGTTTAGCATAAACACAATTGCATAAAATGTGCATAACATCCTCTTCAAACACCCCACAAGCAGGGCAAACATTTGGGATCTCTACTCTTCTCCTAACCAGGTTAGTAATAGTTGGCAAAGCATTTGAGATAGCTCTCCATAGGAAAATTCTCCATTTAGGGGGAACCTGTAATTTCCAAATATTATTCCAAACTGCATCACATGGAGTATTAATTTTCCCAAGCCGCCTATAACCGTTTTTAACTGAATATGCACCTCTAATATCACCCATCCAGAACCAATCATCATTAAACTCCACACACACCGGAGTTCGTAGAATTAATTCAGCATCTCTAGGAATAAATATTTGTGATATTAAATCTTGATTCCAAATTCCTTGGTCAGAATTTATCAAATCTGTCACCATTAAATCAGAATGTTGAGCGATCTGGTCTGAGTGGACAAACGGATCATGGGGGTCGGGCAACCAGGGGTGATCCCAAACTTTAGTCATTCTTCCATTACCAATCCTTCGCCTGCAACCACTTCGAACAAGATCTTGGCTGGCCATTATACTCCTCCAAACATAACTTGGATTACCCCCAAGTGTGGCCTCAAAAAAAGTAGTATTAGGGAAATACCTTGCTTTAAATATCCTGGCCACTAGGGATCCTGGGCATGTCAACATTCTCAATCCTTGCTTCCCCAAAAGGGCTAAATTAAAATCATGCAGTCTCTTAAAACCCATGCCACCATGCTTTTTAGGAACACACATCTTGTCCCAGGCCATCCAGTGAATGCCATCTACCACATTGCTTTTCCCCCACCAGTATTTATTCATCAATCTTTCCAGTGAGTCACATAAAGTCGTAGGCAACAGGTAGATACTCATTGTGTAAGTGGGCATCGCCTGTGCAACACTTTTCAATAACACCTCTTTACTTGCCATCGATAGCAGCCTCTTATTCCAGGAACCAAACCTTTGCTTCAGTTTTTGCTCAATATATGAAAAAATTACTCTCCTGTTTCTACCAATAACTGAAGGTAGACCCAGATACTTCCCAAAATCCTCAGCTTTCTCAACACCTAACCCCATAGCAATGGCATTCCTGTCCCCCAAGCTGGTATTGCGGCTAAAAGAAATATTGGATTTATGAAAATTAACAGATTGGCCTGAAAATTGTTCATAAACCTCTAAACAACGCTTCACCTCCAAAGTTTCCTGCATGTTTGCCTTAAAGAAGAGCATGCTATCATCCGCAAAGAAGAGATGCGAAATTGGTGGAGCCCCACGAGCCACCCTACAACCATGTATTCGTCCTTTTGCCTGAGCATCCTGCAACAACAGAGACAAGCCTTCTGCACATATAATAAAAAGATACGGAGAGAGTGGATCCCCCTGCCTCAAACCCCTAGACGGGATTATTTCCTGACTCGGCTTCCCATTCACCAGCACCTTGTACCTGACTGTCCATATACAGAGCATAATTAGTCCAACCCATTTCTCATCAAAACCCAGTCCCAACAACATACGTTCCACAAAAGACCACTCCATCCTGTCATAGGCCTTAGCCATATCCAATTTGAGAGCTGCCCACCCAACCCGCCCTAACTGTTTTCTTCGTAAATAGTGCCCAACCTCAGACGCAATAAGAATATTGTCTGAGATAAGCCTGCCTGGCAGAAAGGCGCTCTGTGACTCCGAAATAATATTATCAAGCAGTGGTTTCATACGATTCGCAATCATCTTGGCCATTACCTTATATACCACATTACATAAAGCAATAGGCCTGAGATCCGCAACCAATTCAGGGGCTGCCTTCTTTGGGATCAAAACAATATTTGCATCATTCAATTCTAAAGGGAAGGAAGATTGAGATAAACAATTAAGCACAAAATCAGTAACATCCTTACCCACAAGATCCCAAAACGCCTGGTAGAAGCCCGGGTTCATGCCATCAGGTCCTGGCGATTTATCCCTCCCCATGGAAAACAAGGCGTGCTTTACCTCCTCAGGCTCAAAAGGACGAAGCAGATCATCATTCTGCGCACGTGTGACGCGTGGCGTGAGGGTATCCACGTGAAACACACCATCCCCACCACTGGACTGAAAAATCTGAGTAGTAATCCGTGACCAGCGAGACAAGACCAGCCCCCTCCTTCCAGGTCCCATTCTCATCTCTAAGCTTCATAACAAAATTCTTCCTTTTCCTGTGCGTGGCATACTGATGAAAGAACTTTGTATTACGATCAGCACCCTGCAGCCAGTGCTGTTTGGCCCTCTGTTTCCAGAAAGTCTCCTCCTGCGACAGAATGGAACTTAGCTGACTATCCAACTGTCTGAACTGCCCCAAGGAAACTGGGTCCATACACCCTCTCAAAGCATTCATATCCCGTCTTATAGAATCGATCCTGGAACCAAATTTATGAAAATGATCCCCTCCCCATTTCTTCAAACCCTGACCACAGGCCCATAACCTCTCCTGCAACCCCATACCCTGCGAGCTCAACCACTGATCCTCCACCACCCCCCTGCAATCCTCATCTTCCAACCACGCATTTTCAAATCGAAAACTACGCGGTCTCCGTGTTGAAACTGAGCCATAAATATCCAGAAAGAGGGCCGTATGATCCGACATTAGGGTCTGAATATTATAAAGCCTAGCTCTATCATGAAACTCCAACCAGGCTGCATCCCCCACCGCCCTATCCAGACGCTCCTCTACCCAATCCGGTGTCCCCTTACCCCTTTTCCAGGTGTAAGGATATCCGATCATGGGAATAGTCGTCAAACCACAATCCCCGAGCGCCTCTCCAAAACCCTCCAACAAACCAGCAGGATGTGGCCGTCTACCCCTCTTCTCAGATTGAAAAAGCAGATCGTTGAAATCCCCTATTACCACCCAAGGAAGAACAGATACATCCTTAAGCGATCGTAAGAAATCCCACGACTCCCTTCTCCTCGTACTCTGAGCAAAACCATAATAACAAGTGAGCCTCCAATGATGACAATTAGGAAGAGACACCACAATGTCAATATGATTTTGTGAATATTTGAGCAAACGAGCACTATTATTCTTCGCCCATAGAAACCCCATACCCCCCTTCTGTCTCTGACTATCCACACCAAAACCTCCCTCAAACCCAATCTTCACACGGAGCCTCTCCACATGACTCCTATCCACCATCGTCTCCATCAAGAACACAAAATCCGGCTTCACGGCAGTTCCAACTCAGAATACTCATTGGGAAGGGCGAACCTGAGCAACAGGTCCCGCCAAAACAGTCGTAACAGAGTCAACCAACATCACCCCCTCCTCCACCACCACATCACTCGCAACCTCCCTCTCCACACCCCTCCTTCTTTTTGGATCTACCCGAACACCCTCTTCCCCTTCCCCCCTACACCACCCCTGTAAACCACCGAGTGCTGCCCACCCCAAGAACCCGTACCCCCCCACCCTCAACGCACCATGTTGGCCCTCCTCCGGCGCTAAAGAACCCCCGCCACCCGTACGGTTCCCATGCATAGATGAAAGCCGAACAGCCCCCCCCTTCCCCACCACCAAGCCCTAACTCACGATGCCTCTGCTCCCCTTTTTGCAACCAATTTTCCCCCACCGCCTTTGCCGGTAAATTACCACCCGCCTTCAAACTTGCATTGAATGGATACAATTCAGATTTAAGACCAGACACCCGAGCATCAAGACAAAACTTGTCCGTATGCCCTAACTTTCCACAAAAATAGCAGAACATATGCAAACGCTCGTAGCGAAAATTCACCCATGTCCAAGTATTATCACGTAAAATCATCTTCATTCGTCTTTTTAATGGTGCCGTTACCTCAACCGTGACCTTAACTCTGTAGAATTTAGTCCACGGCTTCACAAAGTTTCTTTCATCCAAACAGACAAAAAGCCCTAGATAATCACCCACTTTCTCCAAAACCTTATCCGTCCGGTATCCGACCGGCAAGTCGTGTACCTGTATCCAATAATCCAACGTGTTCAATGTTACCTGAGTGGGATGCTCGCCAGGTCGCAATGGCTGACAAATTAGGGTGGCATTCTCAAACGCCCAAGGACCATTCTCCAACACATAAGCCATATCCGTTTCATGATAAAACGTGAATAGGTATAGATTCGGTTGCACCTCAGCTACTTGTATCCCCATCAACGGTCTCCACACAGACACCACAACCTGCCTCATCACATCAAATTTAATACTGCGATCGGTCAAAAAACGACCAACGAATTGCCAATACTGCTGCACCAAAACCCCGGCTTCCGCCGCACCCGCCTCCTCCTCAAAACGGACGCCGACCTCCTCATCATCAAGGGTGATCCCAGCATAGCCTTTCGCCAAATCTTGAACATTCACACTGTGCTGATTCATAGGTAAACCAGCAGTATTATTATCGGGACAGTGCGACATAATTCACTACAGCGCCGCTCCAAATACACCGCCCAAACACCAGTTTAAATAAAACGGCAAGCAGCAAGAAAACACAGCAGTGATAAAAACCTTCCGGAACAGTTCGTAAGCAAACAACCGCAAAGCACGAACCACACACTAGCAACGAGATATTGCAACAGATAGGATCGATCGAGTACGGTAAAGCGACGTGAAGAGCGTAAAAAAACCCTAGAAGCCAGGGAGAGAGATAGAAAACCCTAGAAGCCAGGGAGAGAGATTAACTTATATTTGTATAACTGTTAAATTGTACATTATTTATTTATTTTAGATCAGAAAGAAAGGGAACACTCAAATTACAAAGTTTGATTGCCAAGTTGGCACCAAAATGGAAGCCCAAACTTATCATCTTCTACCAAGGACTTGTAGTCCACTTGTATCACGTTGCTCCCCTACGTGGGAGGTATTAGGTTTGAGCTTCAATGGATGTGTAGTTTGTATATTTGGGTATCACTTTTCCTTTGTAATAAAAAAAATTGTATATTATTTATAAAGTTGAAATTTATACTTTATAAATTACAAATTTACAATATTGAAAATTATGGGATTAATAGTGTTTATTTGATTGTTAGTGTAGACAAATAAATGATTCATAAACAAACTAGTACGTGATGATATCAACCGGCCCAGCCCAAGAGGCTTACATGGGCCAGTACTAATATGGATCGTGCTAGCCCAACATACATTTTTAAAATGTTTTTTTCCGCATAGTTATTGCGTGTACTGTGGTCCATATAGCTGTGTGGCAATCGTTATGCTATGGACCCGTGTCCAGCATGCATGCTGGACACGGTAATGGTGTCGTTAGTGGCACCCTCTTCCACCTTTATTTTTTTATTTATTTTTTATTTTTTTATTTTAAATTTCAGAACTTTGTAATACGAGTATATGTTAATAATTTTATCACTATATGTTCATAATTGTAAGTTCATAATGGCAGAGTTCTGTATTTATAAATGCATAACTGTACATTCATAATTGCATAATTGTACATTCATAATTCCGTAACTGTACATTCATAATTCAATAACTGTAAATTCATAATTTTCGAAACTCTATGTTCACAATTTTAGAGCTCTATATTCATAATTTTATCACTATATGTTCATAAATGTAAGTTCATAATGTCAGAGCTCTGTGTTCATAATTTTATAACTTACATTAATAATTCCATAACTGTACATTCATAATCCCATAACTGTACATTCATAATGGCACAAACGAATAAGGCCGTTAACGGCGAGACAAAATCAATTTTTATTTTTTTAACTGGAATGACGCGTTTTTCCTGAAAATGACGTCGTTTTGGACTCATATCCACAATGCATTGTGGACACGGGTCCAAGGCATAATTTGCGGCTGTGTGGACAACGGTTTAAAAATGATGTCATTTTGCTTAATTTTATTTGTTTGCGCGCCCAGTTACAAAAAGAGTATGTAATTAATGATGATTTTTTTTTTGTATTTTATTTTTTTGGTAAATTAATTAGTTATATTTCGGTTAATTCAATTTGAAATCAAATAGACACGGTGAAACTCTTTAGCATAATATGTGGTTACGTTGTGTGCTCACAGGTAGCACATAATTCTTATTTTTATTTTTATTTTTTGACTTGATCCCTTGATTAACTTGGACGCGAAAAGACAAAAATAGAATACAATATAATGTTGATGTGAGTAGCCATTCATACTTAGTATATACAATTTATAAGCATATAAATTAAAAATAATTAAGAGAATTGGATTTTTTTTTTCAAAAAAAAAAAGAAAAAAAAAGAGAAAAATTTAATATGAAAATGTTTTTATCAAGTTGAATTTTATTTTCTTTTGAAACGGAATTTTATTTTCTAAATTGAAAATAGGAAACATTTGTTGGCCATGATGCCCAATTAAAGCAAGTGTTGATAGAAAAATCAAAGGCTTGGTGGTGCTACTCCTTGAGCCTTGAGCAGCTGAATATGTGCTTCAATTTTCGCCAATTCCGATTCAAAGCTATAAATTTGCTGTTGTAAAAGTGTGATGATTTCGACACAGCCATATACCGGATCCTCTACCCTACATTGTGCCTTGTAGTACAAGGATTCCGCAACATCGCCCCGTTTATACTCTTCTACTTGCTGTTTTAATCAAAACAATAATTCAGAAATAAAAAATGATAATCAGTACTGCATCAAAGTTCAATTCACCGAAATATATTTATGCAGTAATCACAAAAGATGAGATTTAGCTCTTCACCATCGTAAATTGGGTTTGTGGTTTCACAACAAGGTCGGACTTCATGGCGGAGCTGTGGGGCATTAGGGATGGCCTCAGATTGATTAGAGATAAAGGGTTGCGAGGTGTTGAAATGGAGCTAGATTATGGGGCAATCGTTAAAGCAGTAATAGGATTTTCAGGGATGGACTCAGATGCAGGGCTTTACTTTTAGATTGCAAGGCTCTCCTTAGACAAGTTTATTACATACGAGTGTGCATGTGTTGAGAGAGGGGAATCATTGTGCGAATCTTCTCGCAA